ATAACAACATGGGTGACTACTCGAAAGCACTTGAATTTTACGAAAAAGCACATAAAATCTACGAAAAAGCTCTGCCTTCGAATCATCCAGATTTGGCTACTTCCTACAACAACATCGGTGGAGTGTATGACGACATGGGTAACTACTCGAAAGCACTTGAATTTTACGAAAAAGCACATAAAATCTACGAAAAAGCTCTGCCTTCGAATCATCCAGATTTGGCTACTTCCTACAACAACATCGGTCTCGTGTATGACAACATGGGTGACTACTCGAAAGCACTTGAATTTCACGAGAAATCACTTAAAATAAGAGAAAAAGCTCTGCCTTCGAATCACCCTCATTTGGCTACTTCCTACAACAACATCGGTCTCGTGTATGACAACATGGGTGACTACTCAAAAGCACTTTCATTCTTAGAAAAGGCACTTTCTATCTTCCAAAAATCACTTCCACCTAACCATCCTAATATTAAAACAGTCAAAAACTCAATTGACAATGTTAAAAAGAAAATGTAACTGTAATTTTTTCTTTTTGGCTTGCTCAATAAATTTATTCACATGGCTAATCGTTTCGACTTTTCTCGGCTCATTTTGGCTTACGCGCGCGCGCGACAAGGGAGAGATCCCTTGTCAATGCCATAGGTACCACAGGCGGACCACGCCGGACTGGTAGGGCAATGGCCGAAGGTATGCCGTATTAACACGGTAGGGACCAACGACTCATAGAGGCCTTCCCTAGTACTACACTGCTTCGCTATGGCAAAGTTACTCTACCTATTGAGTCAGACAACGTAGCTATCTGACCCATACTAGTAACATTCTTAACTCAACTCATCTCATCTCAAAAGTACTCATACTCATACTCATAATAACTGACAATATTTATTTTTTCTCGAAATAAGTTATTTCAAATCAACTCAACTCAACATGTTAAAAAAATTTTTTTCCTACCTCTCAATGTTGTATTGTATCGTAGTAGATCTAAAAAAAAAGTATTGTTAAATATAAAGACAAATAATTTACCTTATTTAAAATATAATGATATCATTATCATTGTAAATAATATAATAATAATAATAATAATAATAATAAATAATGTACCCGGGTATATAATTACATTGTAATGCATCATATTGAGAAAACGCGAATGTATTGTTTTATGATGATACATCCATGTTTTTACATACACTATGGTTCATTGTTTAATAGTCAACGGTTTTAATTGATTGTTCATCAATCACATCACACACGTGAATTGATGTTTCTTCGTGTGTTTTAATTGATTTGACGATCAATCTTTATGTAGTGATATATGTATGTTTTTTTAATTTTTTTTTCTCATCTGACGGACATCAATATCATGTCGTCGTCGTCGTAGTCGAAAAAAAATATTCGTCTTATGTGTATATGTAGAGTGTGAGTTGAAAAAAATAATAACATTCACTGCCACACACACACCCTGCATCACCATCTTCTGATATAAAAATCTTCAAATATTTCTTCACAAACAACATGAATTCGATCTACTCTGTTTCATAGTTTCTATTTAAGTAAAAAATTAATACTAAAAAAAAAATATGTTGACACGAAAGAAAGTGATTTTCAAGTTGCTGTACTCGATTCATTTGTTCAATTACTTTTAATTCACATTAATTGTAGTATACTAAACACTGATAAAATTTCTTGTATTTCTGATCTATCGCTTATTTTTGAATAGAATTTCTTATTATGTTGTCACAAAGCAAGTAAACATGACTTGCAACGTATGATAAGAAGCAAAGAAAAAAAATATTTTCAAGAAAAAAAAGTATTGTTTGAATTCTTTTTTTTTAGTTTTAGCAGTATTAGACTTAGTTGTATATGATATTATTGTTGATAGTATTCAACATGAAGGTGATTAATTGAATTGTATTTCACGATAAATTGTCCATGGACTTCTTATTCATTTACAATTACATGTTACTATGGCATCATCTAAGGTTATTTTTCTTTCTTTGATAATCTTAGATTTCACTTTACTTTTTAGGATCAATCACTTTTGGATATTTATTCTACACCATTAACAAATTTTATTATTGTATCATTATTTGAATTACGATTAATTGATCCATTTATTGTTACATTTCGAGCATTAGCAAACAGAAAAGTTCGTTTTTTTTTTATTCATGAAATTTTTCTAAAGCTTAAATTGTTTTTTAGAATATCAATCGTCCTTTCCGTTTAGTTTGGTCCATAATTGGATTTATCTTCTATGATAGTACCATTTATTTGAATTTAAAATTTCTATGGTTTTATAATATCTCTAATTTTATTTTAGCTATACAATTCTAAATAATTTTCGTGAATTTTTAATTCATGATGAAACTATACATCATCTTGATACATTTTCATATTAATAATTTTCTTGGCTTTATAGATCATACATTAGCTGGAAATTATTTACTTATTCAATCAATATAGACTATTAGGAA